ACAAGTGGTAGAGCACTAGCCTTGAGCTGAAGAGCTGAGGGACAGCGTCCAGGCCCAGAGTTCAAGCCCCATGACTGACAAATAAATTTAAAAAAATACATGAACACTGAATGATTTAATAGAAACTGCAATGACAGTTCCAAGAGGATTTTTTTTGGGGGGTGGGGGGGAAGGTGAACAGTAATGGGGTTTGAACTGAGAGCCTCATACTTGCTAGGTGCTCTACCATGTGAACCATGCCTCTACCTTGATGAGACTGATCTGTATGTTATTTTAAAAGTAAAACTAGAACAGTATATTCTGAAAGAAATACAAGACTTACCAAGAGAATGGTAGGATGTAAAAGTTTCTACAGTTGTGATTCTATTTTTGTTGAAGCTACAGTTTGTCATTTCATAGAAACTAACGTATTAGCAAGATTTGGAATTTCTTTTGGATGATGTTGGGGTTCTAAACTCAGGGCTTTGTGCTTGCTTGGCTTGTTTGCCCAGGGGAGTTCTAGCACTTAAGCCATATACATCCAGTTGGTTACTTTGGAGATGGAGTCTTGTGGAACTTTCTGCCTTGGCTGGCTTTGAAGCAAAATCCTTTGAAAATCAGTTTCCTTAGTAGCTAGGATTTGACTTACTGGTGCCTGCCTAGATCCTTTATTTTCTGTTTGCAAGTGTGCCAGGGGCTCATGCTTATAATCTTAGCTAATCAGGAGATAGAGATCTTAAGATTTTAGTTCAAAGCCAGCCTGGCAGGAAAGTCCGTGAGATTTTTTTTTTTTTTTTTGTCGGTTGTGGGGCTTGAACTCTGGGCCTGGGCGCTGTCCCTCAGCTCTTCAGCTCAAGGTGAGCGCTCTACCACTTGAGCTACAGCGCCACTTCCAGTTTTCTGGTGGTTTATTGGAGATAGGAGTCTCAAGGTCTCTCCTGCTTGGGCTAGCTTTGAACCGCGATCCTCAGATCTCAGCCTCCTGAGTAGCTAGGATTACAGGCGTGAGCCACCAGCACCCGGCTTGTCTGTGAGATTTTTATCTCCAGTAACTACCAAAAAACCAGAACTGAAGCTATGGCTCAAATGGTAGAATGCTAGACTTGAACACACAAAAAGCCAGGAACAGCATCCAGGCCCAGAGTTAAAGGCCATGCATGAGACACACACAGGAAGACACCCAATAAATAATTTATATTATTAAATTATTATATATAATTATATGTAATATAGTATATATATATTTATTACATATAAATTATTAAAACCTCCAAACCTGGAAGACAAAGGTAGGTGGAGAGACTGTCTTGGTTAAAGCCCATGCATCACACACACATGAGAAGACATCCAATAAATAATAATTATAAAATCTCCAAATCTGGAAGACAAAGGTAGGTGGAGACTTTCTTGGTATTTGAATTTCTTACCATATGCTTTTTGTTGATTTTGCATGCAAAAATGAGATTAATTAAAAAAATTAAAAGTCAGCGAACAGTAAATCTGATGTGTACCTACATAAAAGTAAATATAAGGAATAACTTTCTGAAACTAACTCATTTTCCGTATTTTTATATAAATGCAGAATTTTAAGTTCTCATTTTACTTCACAGAACTTGTAATACTGATTGAAAATACAGACTTTCAGAGGAAGTGTTTATTAGTAACACAAATATATAAAGGTAGCTAAGGGAAAAAAGTACTAGCCACAACTTAAACTTATGGCTTAATACTCTGGAAGCTGTCAAAAATGATAAGTTTTATTGCTTCTTCTGCTTAACTGACTGCAGCAGTAACACACCTGTACTGACTGAGGTCTTACTTTTTTACATTCTAAGCCATTTGTAGCTGCTCTTTTTCCATTTTACTTCATTTCGAATTTGCTTTCCCCCCACCAGACTTGGCTGGGAGGATTTTTTTTTTTTTGGGTGCCCATATTGGAGCTCTTACTTGGCTTTTCTACTCTAGCCCTCTATATAGAGCCAAAGGTCCATTTCCAGCTTTTTCTGGTTAGTCTTAGACTTTTCTACCCTGGCTAGCTTCAAACTGTGATCCCAGATTTGCCTCCATGAGTCACTAGTGCCCAGCTTAGGAGAGTTGTTATTTTGCCAGTTCGGGCACTGTCTCTGAGCTGCTTTTGTTCAAGGCTAGTGCTCTATCACTTGACCCACAGGCCCACTTCCAGACCTTTTGGTAATTTATTGGAAAGAGTCTCACAGACTTTCCTGCCCATGCTGGCTTCTAACTGTGATCCCCAGATCTCAGTCTCCAGTATCTAGGAGTACAGGTATGAACCACTGACACCTGGCTTAGGAAAATATTTGAAAGCCGAAAATGCCCACAAGTAGCCTTCCAAAATATGTAATCGTTTTTATAATTAATGGAGTCAAGTGTCCAGTGTACCTTCAATCCCAGAAAATTAATCTCAGCATTTAACTTTTCTAAGTCTGCTAGTAGCTCCTATAGTTGAATAACTGAACATTTTAAAGTTAAAATTATTAAAGAATTTCATTAAAGTGCCCTTCAGATAATTACTTCAGTTGTAGTTTAAAAATGGTAGATACATAAAATCAGTTCTCATAAATATTACTTCTGTTTACAAATATTCCATAGTTCTGTTTACAAATACTATTTTCAAAATAGTTCTATTATCAAGGTCTGTAAAACAGAATTTTCTCTGGATACCCCTACCAAGATTTTCACATAGAAAAAGTATGGTGATACAGAAATACATTTTATTATTAAGCTTCTTTAGAGTATTTACAAAAAGTAGGATGTAACAAAAAATATAAAAAGATACAACAGTGTCATTAGAGACTATACAATATTAGACATCTGTTTCTAGAAACAGTTATCTCTTATACAAACACGACTTCAAGACAAAAGGTTACAAAGGTTACACAGTATCTGGAGTAATTGTTCAACTCCAAATTATTTGACAGTGCCTTTACAAAAATTTTTTAGAAAACTTCTTAGGCATGTAATAAAAACAAAGAGTGCAATTAACTTCATGGCTTATACAGTTGATTATATAAGTGTAGCAAATGGATATCATTTCCAGTTAATCTTCACCTTATGCTGTAAAACCAGAGTAGGTTGCTTAGTAACTAAAAAAATTATTCCATCTTGCCCATATTGATATAAACTGACTTATTTTGGAGAAATCATCCTCTATCAGAGAATGCAGTAATGGCTACATGAGAACGAATTACAGAAGTATGTGGAATGTCTACTGGAGATTTGTATAGATGCAGCATAATGGCAGGAGGGTAAGGGATTCTGGTAGCTTACTGCCTGGGTGTTGTAATTATATCAACTTTGTCAGCTAATGTAGTACTTCAATTTCCTTATCTGTAAGAAGGGATTCATGATGTCCTCATCAGGTAGCTGTTCTGAACAAAAAACTAAAACATAAAACAGAACACAGAAATGCTGCATAATGCTTATCATTTTCAGTCCTAGATTCTAAAAGCCTCTCAATCTTGTTTGTATACAATTCTCCTTTGCGACCTCAAACTTGGTAGGCAACAATAACATTAGTATACTTTTCACATTATTGAATTACACTAATTCACATCTGATCTTCTATAGATCACAGTGAGGAAGATATAGGCAAAAATTATGACTTTCATTTTATAGACTGAGGAACTAGAGACAAACCGTATGTGTCCAGGTTACCAAAGCTAATATACTGAAGCCAAGACTTAAATTCCAAATTTCTTGCCCTTAAGAATGGAAAAGAAACTGAACCAAACTAAAACAAGGTTCATAGTAATAATTGCTGAATAAAAGAACAAAGCCACTACAATTCCTATGGATGGCTTCAGATTTTTCTCCAATCAGACTGCCTCTAAGCGCTGAAAATCTGTGAACACCACAAAGCTGGAAAAGTTTTGCATTTCATCAGAGGCTATGAAATTTCAGATTTGCAGATTAAGGATGCCCAATAAGTGACCTCTATACAAATTCCCAAATCCGAGGTTGGAAATCCAAATTAACATTTCAGATGAGAGACATTCCACCTATGTCAGTAATTATATTGGAAACATCTGGCTCCTGGAGCTGAAATGTAAAATGGCCTTCCTCTATTCATTTCTCTACTGTTAATATAGTCCTCCTCACCATCCCCTCCTTATAAACTGAGGGTTTTATAATTGCTTAAGAAAAATGGTGATTTAAAAAACACTCCAGACATTAGCAAAACCCTCTAATAGGTTATGGGAAAACACATCTATATAGTGATGGTAGCATTAACTGACTTCACCATACATAGCTCCTTTTAGTACATATTTAATCTTTGACTTCAAATTCAACCCAGGATAAAGATGAGTTATGCAATTAATATTTAGATCTGCACCCATTGAATCTTAAATACTGTAGCATCATGATGCTGTCAGTTGGGAAAATAGTTGTTCCATAGTTAGGAACAGGCACACATAACCACTCAGCATTTATCTCAGCTATTTTACTTAAAAAAAAACAAACCAATTGTACAAATTATATTCATGGCTACTAAAACCTACAGAAAGTGACAATTTTTTTTTTTTTTGTAGAGATCGAAAGGTTATGGACTGTTTCAGTCTTGAATGATTTAAAGAGAAAGGCAAAACCATCTAGGGATCCTCTATAGATATCTAGGAAAACCTTTCAATTGCTCAATGGATGACTGGACAAATGTTTAAGGTCCTACAGTAAATCATATATTGGTAGCTTCACAGTTATTGCTTAAATGAAAACCTCTTTAGTAATCAGTCTTATAAATCTTGTATAATTTGGTTAAGCTATGAAAAAACTGGAAAATCATAGACTTTAAAAAAAAAAAAAAGACCAAGTTCAGGCAGGAAAGTAAGACCTACCTCCAATAAACTACTGAAAAGACAAATGGAGCTGTGCCTCAATTGGTAGAACACTAGCTTTAAGCAAAGAGAAGCTCAGAAACAGTACCTGTGCTCTGAGTTTAAGCCCCAGGACTGGCAAAAAACAAAAGACCAAGAAAGGGAAGATAAAGTGACATTACTATAAAGTGAAGGTATAGGAAAAATACAAAACCAGTTTATTTGCTTATGCTATAAAAATTTATAAAAACTTCAGTTTTGAGTCCATTATACATCAATTCCCTTTCTGTACCTACTCATGAACTACAGTATTGGTGTCACCAATTCCTGTATCTTCTCATGGCTTTGCATCCTGAGAATGACAACCTAAAGGACGATAGTTAATGCAGCAGAATATCAGTACATAAAATGAAATCCTTGTTAAAGTTAGCTCATTGATAAAAATTAAGGATCTTCTTCCATATCATCTGGATTGGGTGCCATAATGAAGTGCTTTGGATATGCAAGGTTATGTGTGTATGCATGTATTTCCCAGCGAGCATCATCACTTTCATGTGTAATGTAACGTTCTCCAATACGAGTTTCAAATTCTCTAAGGTCAAGCCATGTCTGATAATCCTAGAAAGAAAAAAAGATTACCAACTATTAAATAAAATATTGACAGCTTATCAAACGATTTAAAAATTTTGATTGTAGCACCAGTGAATTCTTGTTATATAAATTCTAATGTAATATTTGAAATTAGCTATGTTAGGGTTTTTCCCCTTCAAGTCTCTAATAAGGTAAAGTAACGTTTGTAAAGTTAAAAAAAATTCTGTCAGACTTCTATCACTAAAAACATTTTGATCTACATTGGTAAATGCATAAGCCTTATTCCCTAGTAATTTACCTCATTCCCTTTAAAGTAGTGTGGGGCTTGAACTTAGGCCAGGGTGCCATCCCAGGCCCTAGACTCAAGGCTAACACTCTACCACTTTGAGTCACAGCACCATTTCTGGTTTTCTGATGGTTAATTGGAGGTAAGAGTTACATGGGCTTTCCTGCCTAAGCTGGCTTCGAACTGAATCCTCAGATCTCACTCAGCCTCCTGAGGAGCTAGGATTATAGATAGGCATGAGCCACTAGCACCTGGCTAAGTCAAACATTTTAAATGGCTTTCTTTTTTGGTCTCTGATGCAAAACTAAACCTTTCAGTAGACATTTAAATAAAATATACTGAAAAAAATAGTATGTCATGCTAATCCTTTAAAAAAAAGTCAAACATAAGTCCCTATAAAACAAGTCACTGTTTTCAGTTCACAGGAGCTTACAAATTAACCACTGAACAGCACTACCATTATTCTAAGAAATGGATATGATCTGTTGATCTTGGAGTGGTTTCATTAGGTAAGATACAACACAGCTACTCAAATGAGGACTACGAAAGAGATAAATACATTAAAAAAAATTACCTGTAGCCAAGGATGACTAAGAGATTTGTCAACACTGTAACGTTTCCTCATCTTCACTTGAAGTAGGTTGTTTATCAAGTCAATCGCTAAAGGAAAAGATGAAATTCCATACATGAATTTAGGTGTACTTCTTAGCTATGTGAGAGGGTCAGTTACTCGACTAACTATACTGTGTCTTCATCTCCAAATCTGTATAATGAAACTTGGGAAGGTGAAACTAGCTTAATACATGTAAAAAGGCTTAGCCCCTAAAAGTGCTTAGCACATAGGTGCTAAGTATTATTTCAAGATGAATAAAATACTATGATTACAAGCTGATTTTCCTCCCTCCCCTCTTTCAGTGATACCACATTGCTCTCTATTTCCTGGCTTGGTTTGGAGAAGCAGTTAAAAGCCATTGCCTTGCCTCTCCAGGAACAGCTTGAAGCAATAATTATTAGCCTAAGTCTAAACTCAAGAAGCTTTAGTAAACAGGTTCAGGTGCTTTGGTACTTATGGTATGATGAGATCTTAGTACACATATTTTAACTACTTCAAAAAAGGGATTCACTCTGGGAATGTGGCTTAGTGGTAGAGTGCTTGCCTTGCATGCATGAAACTCTCGGTTCAATTCCTTAGTACTACATAACCACAAAAAGCCAGAAGTGGCACTGTGACTCAAGTGGTAGAGTCCTAGCTTTGAGCAAAAGAAGCTCAGGGACAGTGCCCTGGCCCAAAGTCAAAGCACTAGGACTGGCAAAAAAAAAGGGGATTCACTGCCAAAATCAAGGGAATACATTTTTACTGCCTATTCAACAGTATGTTTAAAATGCTGGCAGGAATGTTTTCCAAATACTTAACACTGTTTGTTCCTTAAACTATGATTCACTGTGTGCATAACTGCCAATGTTTATTTAAAATTCACATAATATCCTTCCAACTGATGAATCAGAACCTCTGGGATTCTGCAACTCATCAAGTGATTCTGACATAATAGGTCTACAGACCATATAGGCTTTGGAACTCTAAAAGGCTTCATTAAAAGGGGGGCGGGGGGAAGTCTGGGCTCCAGTGACTCACACCTTTAATCTTAGCTAATTTAGAGGGTGAGATCTGAAGATAGTAATGTAAAGCCAGGGTTGGGAAGGTGGCTCAGTGGTAGAGTGCTTGCTTTGCATGCATGAGGATCTGGGTTCTATTTCTCAGCACCACATAAGCAGAAAAACCTGGAAGTGGTGCTGTGGCTCAAGTGGTAGAGCGCTAGCCTTGAGCTGAAGAGCTCAGGGACAGGGACAGTGCTCAGGCCTGGAGTTCAGGTCCCACAACTGACAAAAAATAAAAAAATAAAAAAATTCAAAGTCAGCCTGGGCAGGAAAGTCTGTGAGATTCTTATCTCCAATAAACTACCAAAACAGCCAGAAGTGGAGCTGTGGCTCAGGTGATAGAGTGCCAGCCTTGAGCAAAAGAAGCTTAGGGACAGCGCCCAGCCCTGGAGTTCAAGCCACTGGTCTGTCTTTTTTTTTTCTTAGTCTTTAGATGTGGCTCTAAAGACTTTCCCTGGTTGAATAGAATATTTTTCAACCCCTATGATTAAACCTAGTAATTTTAGAAAAAGACAAAACCAAAACAACAAAAAAAGCCCACCCACCTAAATTCCCCTACACACTACTTCTGTTAAGTAGCGTCTTTGTGTGTGCGGTAGTCCTGAGGCTTGAACTGTCTGTCAGCATGTTTCCTCAAGGCTTGCACTCTTTCACGTGAGTCACAGCTCCACTTCAGGCATCTGGATGGTTAACTGGAGATAAGAGTCTCATGGACTTTGCAACTAGAGCTTGCTTCAAACCACCATCCTGTGACCTCAGGGTCCTGATAGCTAGGATTACAGATGTGAGATACCAGCACCAGCTTTAAGGAACATTTTAAGTAGTATACTTTTTCTTTCCATCAGTAAATTGAAAAGGACCAGCCAATTCTCCCCGCCCCCCCCCTCCCCCGCCCTTTTTTTTCCAAGGCCTATGCTGAAGGCATTATCTTCCTGCCTCAACCTCCTGAGTGCTAAGGCTAAAGACATGCTGACACATCCAGTTCATTGTTGAATAAGTAAAGAACTCAGTGTTAAAACTCAAAAACCTTCAACATACAGGAAAATAAAATGTATGGTGCTTCTCAGTATGTATCTATAGGAGAACTTTAGAACTAAATTGAATGTAAAGCTGATTCTAAGAATGTAAACTACAAGTCTCAAGAAGTTTATAATCTTGTTCTGAAGATTACAAGGATTTATGAAAACACAGTATATGCAAAAAAAAAAAAAAAAAAGCAACTTCAGCCTAAGTAGACCTTATATAGTTTGGTAGGTGAGGGAAAAGTTCACTAGTGAAACTCAAGGGGTCCTTGGATGATTAGAAAGACATGACTAGTGAAGAGATTATAGGCAATGGGAAGAGGCTTAAGCAAGAGCCAGAAAACCAGAATAGAGTACACAACTAGCTTTGTGCAGGGAAGAAATGTGAGGGAGGGGGGGAACACGGACATTTACAGCTGTGTTGGTTAAAGGGAAACCAGATGTTTGGGAACTGATTAAGATGAAAATACTGTTTCCTAGCCGGCACCGGTGGCTCACGCCTGTAATCCTAGCTACTCAGGAGGTTGAGATCTGAGGATTACAGTTCAAAGCCAGCCTGGGCAGGAAAGTCCTTGAGACTCTTATCTCCAATAAATCACTAGAAAACCGGAAGTGGCGCTGTGGTTCAAGCGGTAGAGCACTTGCCTTAAGCTGAAGAGCTGAGGGTATATAGCGCCCAGGCCCAGAGTTCAAGCACCACAACCAACCAAAAAAAAAGAAAATACTGTTTCCTGAGATGGATTTGGCAGTCATGACTAAAAAGCACAAGTGCCTAATGGGGGGAAATTAAAAGGATTTTACTAGTTCACAAATGAGACAGTTGAGGCCTGGATTGCTGCTACGCCTAAAAACTGTAAGGAAAATAAAATCAGAACAACTAAATAGAGAAGTCAGAAGAGACAGGATGATGTGCAAATCACAAAGAATTTTAAGTGAAAAGGCACAGAATCAAAAGTTGATTTTTTTTTTTTACCTTCACTAGAAATTTCTTTCCATGGATTTGGTGGGTACATAAATGCAGCATTTTGGATTTGGTCATTTATATCTTCATCCTCATTGAATGGAAATGTGCCACTAAGGCTCACATAGACGATGACTCCCACTGACCACATATCTAGAGATCGGTTGTAACCTTTGCTCCTGAGAACCTCAGGGGCTAAGTAAGCTGGAGTTCCCACTACCGATCGCCGGAATGACTTCTCCCCAATGATGCGTGCGAATCCAAAGTCACACAACTTCACCTGGAAATAGAAGGTATGTTCATTTTATATTACATATACATCTGTCCCTACATATGATACTCTATCATTCACTGCAGTTGCCAATGGTACTGATTATGAGTACAAAACAATTGTAGGTAAGTTGAAAGATCCTTTTCCCAAAAGCAGACAGATATATCTGTAGCTCTGTGATACGTAATGAGTTTTTTCAGTACTTAAAAAACACCTTTGCTGGGCTTGGTGGCTCACGCCTGTAATCCTAGCTACTCAGGAGGCTGAGATCTGAGGATGGTTCAAAGCCAGCCCAGGTAGGAAAGTCTCCAATAAACAACTCAGAAAACCAAAAGTGGTGCTGTGGCCCAAGTGGTAGAACACTAGCCTTGAACTGAAGAGCTGAAGGACAGCGCTCAGGCCCAGAGTTCAAGCCCCACGACTGACCAAAAAAAAAAATAAATAAATAACACCTTTGTATTTTAGCTTTTAGAATATCACTAAATTGATGTTACAGTTACTGAATTTTGTTTCGTTTTTAATTTTTTTGGTAGTATTGGCATTTGAACCTAGGCACTTGGTAGGAAGGTACTCTCCAACTTGAGCCACATTCCTCACCCTTTTTGCTTTTATTTTCCAAGAGGGTCTTGCATTTATGCCTAGGCTAGTCAGGCTTCCCACAGAGCTAGGATTCTAGGAATGCACCAGCATGCCCAGCTTTTATTAGTTGAAGTGGAGACAGTTGTCTTAGTACTAACTTTTTTGTCTAAACTGGCCCTGAACCACAATCTTCTCAACTAGCTCGGATTATAGATATGAACCGACACATTTGGCCAGGTTCTTTATTTCTTCTTCTTTTTAATGGAATGGGTGCATGTGCTGTTCTTTTGTCACTTTTCATTATGTGGGCACTTTTTAAATGATGTTACATGTTTAGATTAAAATGAATCTTCAGAAGGTTCTGGAGAACATCTCACCTGAGGAAAGGGCTCTGCTGATGCAAGCAGCACGTTTTCTGGCTTTAAATCACAGTGCACAATATTCTTAAAATGTAGATTCCTCAAAGCAACAAGTATCTGTTATGAAAGAAAAAGGCTTTGCTTAATGCCTAGAAAATCCCCAATATTACTTCTTGAATAGTCTAGTAATTTGAAAAAATCAAATACAGTTAATCAGAGATGTAACTGAAAGTATTATTTCATGTCTTTAAGATTAACAATCTCCATAATCACTCAGTATGTAAAAATACTGCTATTTGTCTTAATTATAAGTTATTCTTTAGTTTCAAAGAAGACTGGGAAGTACCTGTGTGACCATGAATTTAGTAATACGTTCTGGAAGCCGACTTTTCTCACTGGACAGAATCATTTCCAGCATATCTCCATGCAGCTTTTCCATGACTACAAAGACTCGTTCTGGGGTTTCAAACATACATTCCAGGTTTACAATCCCAGGGTGATGCAAATTCTGAACAGAGGTTGCAGATATTTAATGACCAACTTAAGTAGAAAAATAATCTTACTATGCAAATATCTAACATGTTACAAATGACTGTGAAATACAGAGCATAAAAAACTTAGAAAAATAAAAAGCAAACATAATAGATAAGGAATAGATACTGATTTTCCCAATTGTCCAGTGGAGAGAAGAGTAGAGACCTTCTTCCATTTCTTCTGTATATGTGGTCATCTCTTCAAGAGAGCTTTTGTTTTTATTTTGCATAGGTTTGCAACTTATTTTACTTTTCTTTTAATATTCTCTTACATATTCTTTTATTTATATATTCCATCAACATGAGTACTTATAAAGGGAAGTCAGAAAAGACAAGAGAAATAAACCATTACTAATCTATAACTGACAGAATAAACAAACTCAAGGCTTAAGCAATGAAGGTAAATGTAACTGTTTTATACTAAACTGCCCTAAAGAACAAAGATCTCCCCTGTAATTTAAAAGAGTAGTGATGTAAACGGTACTTCTTCCATCTTTGAAGTGACTTTCTTCATTTCATTTAATGTATTTTTCCTCTTTTGTTTGACCAAGTGACCCAAGGAAGATATCAGATGAGTAACTTGTTAGACTAAACTAGAAAAAACAGCTCACTTAAGCCCTTCTTCCTGCTTGCAGCAACATTACTTTCTAATTTTTGAAAACACTATTTTATAGAGCTGAATTTTTAAAAATTAAAGGTAGCATTTGCGCTTCTCTTTTTTATTCCTTTTGTAGCCCTGGAGGGTTTTCCACAAGGAGAACGAGGAAATGCTGAAATCATACTACAATATTTAAGCTAGAAAATTCGAACTTAACATTTTCCCATGTGCATAGTTAATGAGACTGCTACATTTTCCCTGACTACTACCTTCTTCAGGCAAGAGCAAAGGAAACATTTTGCATGACCATGTATCTAAGAGACCAAAGTCTGCTCCTCCCTCATTTCTTCCTTGCTGCACAAAGTGCTAGGATGTGGCCCTGTCAACCTTTCTATAGGTATGAATCTTTTTCTATAATTAATGAAATTAACATACGTTATCATTCCACACCTCATAACACATTTATTCAGCTGATACTAAATGAGCTATCATGTGCCAATACTAAGCATGTAGTTAGGATTCATTAATACTAGAAGCTCACACACCCTCATGGACTCATAAAGTCCAGAAAGATGGGATGCCAGAAGAAACAAACTTACTTAGGAAGTGGTAGGTAACTGAAGAAAAGATGTAGGATAAGGGAGTGCTGGGGCGAGACACTTCATTTAATGCTGAACAGAATTTGAGGACTTCATTGAGGAAATGGTATTTGGACAAAATCTTAAAAGGACACAAAGCACGATGTCATGCAAACATCTGAGAGAAGGTATTCTTATCAGAGGCACAGCGAATGCAAAAGCCCTTGAGGATATGTCTAGTATATCTGATAAACAGAACCACCTGGAGAAGAGATTAAATTTGCTGAGTGGCATCTACAGTGGAACCTTTTTAGATTTTGGTTCTGCTTAATAAACAAAAAGGTGTTAAAATGTGTTCATTTCTTTTTTTAAAAAAAAAGTTTATTGTAGGGCTGGGAAGTTGGCTCAGTGGTAGAGTGCTTGCCTCTCCTGCAGGAAGTTCTGGGTTCAATTCCTCAGCACCACATAAACAAAAATAAAAAAAAAGTTTATTGTTAAAGTTGATGTACAGAGGGGTTACAATTTCATGATTCAGGTAATAAGTACATTTTATTTTAACAGGATCATCCTCTCCCTCATTCTCTCCTAGTTTTCCCCCTCCCTGCAAAGTAGTATAGTTCATTTCCAGCAGTGTCCACTGGAGTTTCACTGCTAAATTGGTTCACAGTTTCTATGCTACCCCTAACCTCCCCCAAATAAGATTAACTTATATACAAGACAAAAGGTACAAAAATAAAAAACAGCAGGGAATTATGTAACCAAGAAAAAAGGAAAGAAGAAAAACCCCACAAACAGTATAAATGATCTTATGCACACAGCTATTGAGCCCTTGCAATCCTCTAAGAATATCCTTTGTTCTCACAGTGTGAATGTTTAGATTGCTGTTTAATTATGTCCACGTCCAATAAAAGTATTGTCCATTGGTTTTACTTGTAGGCACATTCTAGTTATTACTTTATAGGCACATTCTAGTTATTACAAATGAGGGAAAATACGCAGCCTGTGTTTCCCTGGGTCTGGCTTACTTTGCTTAGTATAATTTTTTCCAAGTATTTCAATGTCATTCTTTCTATGGAAGCATAGAATTCCCCTGTGTATATTTACTAGTTTCTTAATTTACTAGTTTCTGTCCTCTGAGGGATATCTGGGGTTGATTCAGTATCTTGGCTATGGTGAACAATGCAAGGAACATGGCTGTGCTGGTGGCTTTGGTGTAGTCTAGTTGTGGTCAATTACATAGATGCTTAGAAGTGGGATTGCTGGGTCATAGGGAAGCTCTATGTTTAGTCTTCTGCAGAACCTCCATACTGCTTTCCAGAGTGGTTGAACAAGTTTACCAACATTGTAGTAGCACTCCCTTTTAGCAACATTCCTGCCAGCATCTATTATTATAGTTTTCTTGATAATGACCACTCTAATTGGGGTGAGGTGGAATCTCAATGTTGCTTTGCTTTGCATTTCTTTTATTTTATGGCCAGAGATGTTGAACATTTCATGTGTCTCTTGTTGTTATTTCCTCTTCAGAGCAGACTCTCTTTAAGTCTAGCCCACTTATTAATGGGCTGGCTGGTTCTTTGAGAATTTTTTTGTGGGGGGTTAATTTTCTGAGCTCCAAGGATATTTAAGATATGAGGCCTCTGTCTGTTGTATAGCTAGTACAGATGATCTTCCATTCTGTGGACTTTCTATTTATCTTGCTATGTCCTTTGCCATGCAGAAACTCTTCGGTTTGATGAAATCCCATTTATCTAACCTTTCTTTGATTCGCTGTTTCTGAATCTTTACTTAGAAAGTTTCGACCTGTGCCAAGGAGCCTGCCTTAGTGTTTTCGCTACCCCTTCCTGTAATATTTTCAGGGTATCTGGTCTTACACTAAGGTCTCTGATCCATTTCGAGTTGATTCTGGTACAGGGTGATATATAAGGACCTAACTTCATTTTTCTGCATATATATATAGCCAAATCTGATAGCATCATTTATTGAAGAGGCTATCTTTCTTCCATCCTGTTTTTGGCTCCCTTATCAAGTATTAGGTGGCTATAGGTCTGTGGATTCATTTCTGAGTCTTCGATTCCATTGCTCTTCAAGTCTATTCTTGTGTCAGTACCAAGCTGTTTTTATTACTACAGCTTTGTAATAGAGTTTGAAGTTTGGTATTGATATTCCTCTAGTGGTCTTCCTGCTAAGGATTGATTATTTTTGCTATTCAGGGTCTTCTATTAGTCCATATGAATTTTTTGAATTGCTTCTTCCATATAGTTGAAGAATGTTGTTGGAATTTTGATAGGTATTATTCAATTTGTAGATAGCTTTGGGCAATGCTGCCATTTTCATATGTGTTCATTTCTATTAAGCAGATAGCAAGGCAGAGCTGATCACCATTAAACACTGTAACAGTAAGACTGAATATTCCTGAATAAACTGTGTGGTCCTTTCTGAATCAATGATTCTATAACTTTCCCCCCTCCTTGCTACTGGAAAGGCAAAACAGTATTCTCAATACTTTCTTCTTAAAGATGGGGGACATGGGAAAGAAAAGTTTGAATGCCCTTGGGTTACTGGTAAAAAATGATTACACCAAGCTCAACACAGTACTGTTTGATATGTAGATATATAACAACAACTGAGGGTAAAGATGACAAAGTGAAGCTGATACAGCTGAGAAGAGCCACAGGATGGTGTGACTGTAAAAATGCATTAGGTTCCTTTATATATATGCAGAAAATCTGCCTACAATGCTCATATCTTGTAGAACTAATTTCAATCAATGAGCCATGTTTTGAAAACTTTCCTTTAAAAAAGTGTATTTGCTAAATAAATTCAGATTCTACTGTAGTTCATATAGAAAGTAGGCTAAAGTTAATCATATATATATATACATACATATATTTAAATTTACACACAGCAAAGAACACCTGAAAACTCACAATTGGACATGCATACACACACATGATCCAATAAGGCAAAGAAAAAAGAGCATGTGTTTGGAGCTAAGACTTGATGAGTCAATTTTAAAAATGATTACTATTAATTATATTACTATTAATTATATTACCTGTAAAATAGCTACTTCATTACGAAGCTGACTTTCCTGCTTTGTGGGGAACCTCATTTTATCAATTACTTTAATAGCCACATCCCTTCCAGTCTTTCTATGTTTTCCTATTAAAAAAAATAGAAAAGAGCAAATTAACAGTTAACATACAATACAAAAGATTTGTTGGGAAGCTGTCCATAGACGGTGTGGAGAGCTATGTGTATATACTCATATTTTTTCTGTTTCCTTTTCTTTCTCTACATTCTTTTACTCTTCATATTAAAAAGTGGTATGTTTTCTTGCTATACAAAATTTTCATTAGTTTTCCTTTTATAGGAACTTTTCCTTATCTGAAATTGCAGAATATTTAAATGTGCTTGCTTGCTGAAAAGTAATTGACCTTGCTAAATAAGTGAGCTAAATGCTCTAACAGAGGCTGTAGATACTGTCAAGATAAAAATACTAATGAAGCTGGGCAACAGTGGTTCATTCCTGTAATCCTACCTACTTAGGAAGCTAAGATCTGAGGAAAATGGTTCAATGACAGCTGGGGCGGGAAAGTCTGTAAGACTTTTATATCCAATTAATCACAAAAAAAGCCAGAAGTGGCAATGTAGGCTCAAGTGGTAGAGTGCTAGCCTTGAGCAAAAGAGTTCAGGGACCGTACCCAGGCCCAGAATTCAAGTACCAGGACCAGCAAAAACAAAACAACCCAGATAAACAACAACAACAACAAAAACCTAATAAATTATGAATTAATTTTATTCTAGGTTTTCTTTTTTGTTGGTTGTGGGGCTTTAACCCAGGGCATGGGTGCTGCCTCTGAGCTTCTTTTGCTCAAGGCTCTATCAATTTGAGCCCCAGCAACACCTCCAGTTTTTGAGTGGTTATTTGGAGATAAGAGTTTCACTGGGGACTTTTCTGCCCAGTTGGGCTTCAAACTGTGATCTTTAGATCTCAGCCTCCTGAGTACTTAGGATTATAGGTGTGATCCACTGGCACCTGGCTTAGTCTAGGTTTTCTTGAATCAGCAGACTGATTAACCATGGTAGATCCCATTCTGGAAGGCCTTATATTTTAGATATAAGAGACTTACAAGGTAATTGTGTTAAGTAAATAGCCACTCATTTATTCATTGATTTGAACTAGTTATTTTGAACCTATTACATACTAGACAATGTTTAAATGCTACAGATTCAAGCAGTAAAAATGACAGGATTATTAGATGTGGGTTTTTGGAAAGATTTACTCCAAGATGGTATAAAAGAACAAGATTGGACACAAGGGAATGGATAAGGGTTAACATTTTCTTAATACGGGATTATGGCTTAATGAACTACTTATACGTATACATTAGATTAACCTGAATTGAAATTAACAACCCTGAGAGCTATGCTGATCAGATTTTATTCATTCCATCAAGCAGATGAAGATACAGAGACATAGGAAGGTCAATGACTTCATCTACATTCTAAGACATAGAATAGACTAAGATCTCATTGATGCTATGATGCTAACAGTAGACAAATGCTGCCATTTGTGTCAGACTACACATTTTAGTGAGTCCACATAATCCAGTATTAACTTCAATATCCCCAAACCCACAAACACGTATGTGTGAACTATAAGAAAAGATACTGTTGTAAAACTAATTTCCTGATTCTTTGATACATTTTTCTTTCTGCATTTGAAATTAAGAACTGTTCAACTTTAGTGAAAAGGATTTAATTGAAAGAACACAAGTCAGTAGTTGAAAAAAAGGCTACCTGATCACAAGGAGATGACCAAGTAACTGATGTTTTTAAATTTCACCATTTTTCTATAATATTTGCAACACAAAAGATTGTAGTTTCTTACCTCCATAAACAATGCCAAATTGGCCTGAGCCAAGCACCTCATCTGCAAAGATCTGGTAAACACTGCTGATATCCTATCAGGAGAAAGTAAGCAGCATTACTTTTCTCTATAAAACACTGACAGTATCTCTGATTTAGTAAATCAATGAATTTTTATAAAGCACAAAGTATTTTATGAAACAAAGGCTCTCTATATTCTAGAAAAAAACTCATACTGTGATAATGTACATATGAAGTTTTCCATAGGAATAACTATAGGAAAAAAATTATTTAGATAATATTTGTAGTGAGCTGCAAGAGAAATTACCATTTTTTTTTAAAGAAGAAGAACGCTAGGTACTGGTGGCTCCATCTGTAATCCTAGCTACTAAGGAGGCTGAGATCTGAGGACTGTGGTTCAAAGCCAGCCCAAGCAGAAAAGTCCAATTTATCTCCAATTATTAACTACTCCCAAAAATGCTGGAAGTGAAGTTTTGCTTAAGTGATAGAGTGCTAGCCTTGAGCAAAAGAAATTCAGGGATAATGCCCAAGCTGAATTCAAGTCCCAGGACCAACACATGCACACACATGCATAAGTACGCACACATACAAGAAAGAACAAAGTTTTACATATTAAATTAGTAACAGACTGTTATCTTGCACTGCAAAGAGAAAGAAGAAGGGAATAGGGTAGGGTGGAGGGACCGAGACTGCTATCCTTGATTTGAAAGAAAAATTCAAAGTTCATAGTGACTTTAAGGAAAAGTACGTGAGGTAAGAAGATTATAGTATATAGCCATGCCCATGCAAAAATATGAGCAACTATACCTGAAAAGTAACTAAAAAGAAAACAAATCTGCCCCTGCCTTAAGTTTTTTCTATAACTCAGAACTTCTTAGGGCAAGTATCACCCACAAAGTTCAGTCTTAACAAACTGCCCAGTACTCTGGGCAATAAACATTTCTTTAATAAATTTTGCACTTTCTTTATTTGATGCACCCAATTTGCATATCAGCTACAATTGTTACTTACCACATTCTCCTGGACCTGACAATTGGATACAGAGATACTGGTAGCCAAATCTTCTGTAAAATATAAGAATGGTGGTTAAGAAAAAAAATTACTGATATCTTAACCATATATCTACTCACATGTGAAGAATATATCAAACTTAAAATGTTACAATAGTTAATAAATACATTAAAAATTTACACACATGATACTAACCCATCAACAAAAAATTAAGTAAAATATGGTAACACATTTGTACAAAGTAATACTCTAAATTTTTTTTATTTTGTGCAAGTCCTAGGCTTTAAACTTTTGGGCACTGCCCTTAAATGTTTTTCATTTTGCTTTTTCATTTGCATTTTCATTTTGCCTTGCATTCATATACTACTCCAGTTTAGATAATAAGAGAACTGAAGAGTCCAAGACCACAAAAGTAAGTTAACAACAGAACGAGGCTTACAAGTTCAAGAATCTTCACTCTTTTGAACAGTCCTGGGGCTTTGAGCTTTTCCAGCTTGTTTGCTTGGCTGTCACTCTACTACTTGAGCCACATCTCTAGCCTTGCCTTTTTTAAGTCCCATGGACTTCTCTGCCCAGGATGGCTTCCAACTGCAATCCACTGTCTCTCAGTCTCCTAAGTAGCTCGGATTACTAGCATGACCTACTGGAACCAGGCTGTAGAATCTTTAGTCTTAACTCTTTTAGAGTCTTAACTGTCTCTAAAAGACTCTTTTAGAGTCTTGACTGCCTTTAGAGACTCTTTAATTGAGGAAGTTTAAGGTTGAGCTTGAGAAGATCTCTAGATCCTTAGAAAGGACACATTAAAATATGCATGTGTATCTGTATATTTTCTGGGGAAAGGGTCATGGGTTTTAATTAAAATCTCAGAATTCTGTCTAAAACTCTCCAGAACTTAAGAACCCCTGTGAAATATCCATCAACTTGGCTTCCTCCAAGTTAATATGAAACACCAAACATGGACATGACTCATAACCCTCATCCCTCTGACATACCTGTCTCTTCAACTAGAGTTAGTACAAGTTCCTCCATCTCTCCCATTTAGCTCAGCCTATCTTATTTCTACCTGAAGTCCAAATCAGACTTTTCTACTGTGCAGTCTTTGCTTACTCTATTCTGTTCCGATTTGAGATTTTAGAGTGTGCATTTTTAAACTATTCTAGATTATACTACCATCTAACATGTATGTTGCATTTCCCTAAACAGCTTTTACAATTCTTGAATTTCTATTGTATTCTAGCACAGAGCCTACTATGCAATAAAGAGTTGTGTAAAACACAGGTAAATTAAAATAGGTGCAAATTGGCTGACATTTATTTTTATATAATTGTGCTTATGTCTCATGAATGGTTTATCCATAATATAATGCCAAGTGGCATTATGATTTTAATCATTCACTTTTAAATTAAACATTTAATTATAAAAATATTTAATTATATATATTAAATTATATATTTTGTTGTCATATAATATATTTTCAATACTTTTTTTTTTTTTGGGGGGGGGGGGGGTCCGGTTGTGGGGCCTGAACTCTGGGCCTGGGCGCTGTCCCTCAGCTAGCACTCTACCACTTTCGCAACAGCACCACTTCCGGCTTTTTTTCCCCCTAGCTTATATGGTGCTGAAGAATCGAACCCAGGGCCTCATGCATGCAAGGCAAGCGCTCTACCACTGAGCCACCTTCCCAGCCCCTTATTTTTTAATACTTTTAGTATTTTTGAATGTTTTAATTTGCTTAAACAATAGTAGTTCTGCCTTTACAGAGTTCATGAATATGATATAAACACAGTACATTATTACTTATTTATATCCCACCATGAAACAGAGTACAAATACTAGTCACTAAGTGACCTCGTAGATGCTAAACATTCTTCTTTATGTAACTTCCTTTTCACAACTCTAGGAAGTAGGGACTTCTATACAGAGGTAAAGTACTTGAATAACATCATATAACAGATTGTTCACACTAGAATGCCTAGTTAAAGGCACTGTTTGAGTATATGATTATATCATAATTTCACAAGAGTAGTGTACTAATGATATTGGTTACTTAAGGCGAAACTTAACAGGAAACATTAAAAATGGACAAAAGTACTGGGTGTTTGTGGCTTATACCTATACTACTACTCAGAATGCACAGATCTGAGAATTGAGGTTTGGAGCCAGCTTGTTTGAGGAGACAAATCTAAGAGATGTATTTCAAATTAACCAGCAAAAAGCCAGAAGTGGAGCTGTGTGTGGTTGAAATGGCATTATACAAGCCATGAGCGTTGAGTGTGTGCTGGTTCAAGCTGTAGTAACCAGCAGAAAACAAAGCATAAAGAAAAAAAACTGCACAAGAAACACAACTATACCCCACCCCAAATGCTTAAAAATAAAGCAGCTTATTGCTTACTGTGCTCTTTCCCTTGGCCAGGAGAAGTGCAAACACTTGCTTGAGGGGTCACAGGCATGAGAGCTTGGCGAATTGCTTTCTCCCAGCTCTGTGCTATATCAAGTCCAACTCCAGTGGCAGCTAGAACAGGATTGTGAGAGCTGTCCCCATTGTTCTCTCCAACAAAGTATACCATAGTATCAGTGATGATTTCAAAACAGTGTGGGTTGCTGCCTTGTGAAATGTTTGTGAAATCTCGTGGTGAAGATACTCGCAGAATTTCTGAAAGTGGAATTTCCTGAAATAAAAAAAAGTTATGCATTGAAAAGTGTGAATATTTGTTTTTATTTTCAGTACTCTAAAGAACTGAAGATAGGTATTTTTAAGAATGCACATGGAATACAAAGGCCATTCCTCATATAGTTTCTGCCTTAAATGACTTGTACATTCAGAGTATTATAGGTACAGCATGAGGGTCATTGTAAGATGCAGGGAAGATTTAAGGGGGGTAATTTACCACAGTGTCTAACAACTATTAATTTCTATTTTAAATCAATTCAATAGTTACTGTTCCAGTGGCTGCTTTTTTTCTTTCTTTCAAGATAGATACCTAAAGTCAATAAACAGCAGAAATAATGACAAAAAAGCAAATATCTGGGTCACTCTATGTTGCATAAGCACTCCATTGTGGTTCTTGCCATTGGATTAAACTACTAGTCATTCAATGTTCACTCCAAACATCAGGCAAAAACAACAACAAAAAACAACAAAAAAAAACTCCATTAAAACAAACCCCAAATTATAAAATAAGGTATCAGCAGCAAACATGATTTCTTTCTCAAAGATAAGAGTCTCTTTTCCTAGGCTGGCTTTGAAATTTGGTGCTTAAGGCATTCTCCTTCCTCAGGCTCCCTAACAACTAGAACCACTCTAAGCAGCAAACCAAGTTTCACCCATTTTTAAGCTTCATTCTCCCCCAACTCCCTTCAGTCATGGGATCTGAGCTCAGGGCTTGGGTGCTGTCCTTGAGCTCTTTTGCTCAAGCTAGCACTCTACCCCTTTGAGTGCTACTTCCAGTTTTCTGTGGTTAACAGGAGATAAGAGTCTCGGGGACTTTCCTACCAGATCCTCAGATCTCAGCCTTCTGAGTAGCTAGGTGTGAGCCACCAGCACTCGGCTAACGTATTGTTCTGGTTTTTTTTTTTCTTTTTTTTTTGAGCGAGATCAGGACTTAAATCTGGTACCTAATGCTTTGTCTCATTGGTTAGCACTCTAGCAACCCCTCATTTTTATGTTTTCTAAGGGTAAGGAGGTGTTGCAGAGGAAGGGAAGATTAATTAGAATACACTGATTATACACATGGAAATATCATAATGAAATTCTCCTTTATATAAACTAATGCTTACAAAAAAAGTCACAGAATTGATAGGTTAATTCCATTGCTACCTTTAGCTACGAAGAGACCCAAGTTTTTTTCTTTATGCCTCATCTACATAAGCAATCTTCATGTGACTTTCTACGTAGCCTACTCTAAGTCATGGTATCCAGATGTGAAGCAGCAGCAAACTGAAAGTTCAAAAATTCACATTCAGCAACACAAAACAATCTATGATAGTGGAGCTCTGTGTGTGTGTGTGTGTGCGCGTGCACACACACATGTAGAAGGGAAAAAGAGAAGGTATAGAAAACAGCTGCTTCAAAAGAACCTAACATGGGCTGGGAAGGTGGCTCAGTGGTAGAGTGCTTGCCTTGCATGCATAAGGCCCTGGGTTTGATTCCTCAGCACCACATAAGCAGAAAAAGCTAGAAGTAGATGGAGCTGTGGCTCCAGTGGTAGAGCACTTGCCTTGAGCTGAAGAGCGGAGGGACAGTGTTCAGGCCCAGAGTTTAAGCCCCACGACCAACAAAAAAAACATACAAACCAAAAACCTAACAGTGACTGCTAATAAACTGCATTAGGCAAAAATATATTTTCATGCTTTTCCTATGTAATATTCTTACCTTGTAATATTTTGATCCAGATTCATTTTGAAATAATGTTAGACATTTGCTGTCAAGTCTCCAATAATGCCTTTTTCTCTATAAAATAGAGGTCAGAAAACTGGTTAGGTTAAAAAATAATGTACTTTTCCTTTAAACCCCAACATGAATTTGTATTTTCAAATAGGCTGAAAATTCTCAAAACATAAAAAAGATGTATAGAGAGAGTCACTCTTATTCCAGTGAAGGCAATAGTGTTAGGTTCTGGAGAATCATTTACAAGAAATATAAGTATCCACACATAAATATCTATGAATTCACCTATGGGCTAAATTTATAGAAGCCTGATTCACTCTATCAAAAGATGTACATATATCATTTTTTGATAGTATTAAAGTATTCTAAAGTTTAGAGTTATCAGAAAAACATGAGATTATGTATCATACAGATCCTCACTAATGCAGCTATAAAACTTCTTGATCTCTGATATACTGAAAAGTGAAAACTGGTATTTCATCCAAGTTTAAATCAGTTTTTCTTTTATTATAAATAAAATCAAGCTTGTTTGTTTGTTTGTGCCATACTGATTTTTGGACTCAGGGACTTGTACTCATGCTTGGCTTTTTCACTCAAGGCTAGTGCTCTGCCATTTGAACCATATCTCCAGTTTTAAATCAAATCCTGAAGTTTAACGCATTTGTATTTTCTTCCCTGTGAACTCTGTTCATATTCTTTGCCTATTATTCTCCTGTGCTATAGTAATTTTCTAGTCAATTTGGTAGCATTATTCATATATTGTGAAATTAATTCATTTACCATGAGTTAAGAAGACATTTTTCCAGTTTGCCATTGTTTTGCTTTTGGTATTTGCCATACAGAATTTTTCTGTGAAACTTTTTATTGATCTTTATCTTGTTTTCTTTTCTATTGACAGTTGATAAAGTAACCCTTCTACGGTTGTCCTTACTGGTTTATTTACAATTAAGTCTATGATCCATTCAGGTTACAAAGTATTAGGTATATTTCTGTATTAATTCTTTTATGATGACACATGGTTGTGCTAATATCTGGTAGTCTTTTCCCTATTCGATATAGTATGTTGGACATATGATTAAATTCTTTAACATATATTACTTCAAGTTTCATTTCAAAGGATATAGACAATAAAACAAAAATATACAATTGAAGACTGTATTGTTATATGTAACTTTATTGAAACTAGTGAAGTGTATCAAGTACTTCATTTTATTCTTAGAAGGCTTAATGGTAATCTATTCAGCAAATTTAAAAAATAATAATAGTTACTAATATTTATTGAGTGCTTACTATATGCCAAACCTTATAAGCTCTTTAAAGCATTTGACCTATAAGATTTACAACTACTTATGCTGGTTTCACAGATGAAGAATCTGAGGCCTAAAGAAAAATAAGTAACTTTTCCAAGTTTACAATTTTAGTAAGTCACAGTCTAGCTCCCAAGTCTATATTTTTAAATACCAAACTTCGCTGAATCTTCATTATCAACTGTTACCACACTGTAATTTCACTATTTCTCTTCTTTGCTAAACAGATCTAAAAGGTAACCTGTATATTTACAGTACATTTAAAGCCTACATAAAAACTGTTTCTTATCTTTGCAATAATTTAGGATAACTTTTCAGATGAAGCTCTAGTTCATTTCACTTTTATCTGAATTTCTTTTGAGTTGTTACTTTTCACTGTGGCATATTATCAGATCCTTTTAAAATCCTGAATGGCCTTCCATTTTATAAAGATAACACACTGTACATTTAAAATTTTTTCTTTACAAGAATAATTATAATTCCAGCTTGTTACATATCCCTATAGGACATAAAATGTCTTAAGCTATATATTAAGGTATTTGTTAAGACATCTACCACATGTATCCACTTCATCCTCATTTTGAAGCAAAAAATGCATGAAATAAAACTCATAATCAAGCTTTTCTAGAATATTAAAATATGATTACTGACCAGATTATCCTTGCTGGTATAATGCACCATCCACCCTTCCTTCACCATTGTGCTGCTCTTCCTCTTTGTGTGCTTTATGGATTGTACAACTCTCATTAGCGGAATATTATTGCTTGTTGATGGACTAAAAAATAGTTATAATCTATAATAAATATCTGTAATTCTCACTTGAAATAAGCATATATTCCAGTCTCACTGAGCTAAATTATTTCAAACTATCTGAAGACCACGATTACTTAGTTAATAAACTATCCATGTATTGATGAAATATAACTTATGAAAACTAAGATAATATGGTAAATATTTACTATTTGTCACGAATTTTTTTCTAGACCTTCATAAATAAATCTCCCCAATTAGAAGTTGAGACTGTAGGAGAGTCTCATTTAGGTTTGCTGTTGAGTTTTCATATACTAAACAGCATGATATATTTGCAAATTCGTAACAAAGAAAAACATGTATACTCAAATTCACAGGGTTCAAATTCATCTGATGTGAGCAAAAAGTACTTCTAGTAGAAGACATTTAAACATAAATAATTTATAGACACTAAGAAAAAATTTAAAATGTAATGAAAGCCAATCACAACGAAATATGGATCAGTAATATAATCGGGAAAAATGAGCAATTTGGACACCAAATAAAAAAATAGTTTTGAATATTTAAATACTTAAAAAACTATAAAGTACTTATCATTAAGAAACTACATAGGCTTTACAAGTGGAGTAAACATCAATTTTTAGTAATGACAACAGCTATAATTTAATGGTAAGTCAAAGTGAACAAATGACTCAGCCATGTGAAAAAGATAAGCCATCAATTTTCCAAAAAAAAACTCTTCAATGCCAATGAAAAAAATTATCAAAATAGTTGCATTTTGCTACATACAAGAGGGGATATAAATACTGAATTTACAGAAATACAATGGATATTTAAGTTCTATAATCCAATGTGTGTATGCTGGTCTTGGGGTTTAAACCCAGGGCCTGGATGCTGTTGCTGAGCTTTTTTGCTTGAGGCTAGCTAGAGCTCTATCATTTAGAGCCACAGCTCCAAATCTGGCTTTTTAGTGGTTAATTGGAGATGATGAGTTTCATTGGCTTTTTCTGAGTAGGGCTGGTTTTGAACTGTTATCCTCAAATCTCAGCCTCTTGAGTAGCAAGGATTACAGGTGTGAGCCACCAGCACCTAGCAAATCCAGTAACACTTTAAAAAGTGTTAATAGATTAATTATGGCAGTATGAAAGCTACCCCTCCCACTGACTTTATTTTTACTATCAGCTAATCTGCCTGCCTGTGTGAATAACTGGCTGCTCTAACAGTGTACTACTGGCACCTTGTGGTGACTGCTCTACAATTAGGTATTCTATCTAAACTACATTGAAATAAAACTTTTTTCTTTGAAAGAAAATAAGGATTACCATACTTTCCTATCTTGAGTGGATGGCAAAGGTGAAATAATTCATTTCAGAAATGCTGTGGTGCATGTAGAATTAGTTATGCTTTAATTAGATTTTTAAATTATATTCAAAGTTCCACTTATATACACCTTTTTGTTAATGGAGACTTTGGCCTGATTTTGCATTTGGCAATGTAGCTTAATAGCTACAACAGAGGTATTACCTAATTGTTTTAACAGGTTCTTCATCTCGATCCACATCAAGATCAGATGGATCCAGAAAGAACATTTTATCTTCTGGGGGAGAGGGCTCTTCAGTGTCATCCAAGCCCCGACTACCATCACTGTTCATGTCATTATTATCAATGTCCATTGGTATATCCGTATCTGTTCCTAGACTGGAAGGTTCTGAGAAAAAGCACAAAGCTGTTAGCATTTTAGAATTTCTGTATGACAAAAGATACCACATATAAACAAAATAAAAACCTCCATAGTTTATGATCAATTAATTTTCTAGAAAGTACCTAGACAATTCAATGAGGAAAGAATTTATTTTTATTTATTTATTTTTTTTTTGGGTCCGGTCGTGGGGCCTGAACTTTGGGCCTGGGCGCTGTCCCTCAGCTCTTCAGCTCAAGGCTAGCGCTCTACCACTTGAGCCACAGCACCACTTCCAGCTTTTTTCATTTTGCTTATGTGGTGCTGAGGAATCGAACCCAGGGCCTCAGGCATGCAAGGTAAGCGCTCTACCACTGAGCCACCTTCTCAGCCCCGAGGAAAGAATTTAATGATGTCAAGGCAACTGGATATATACATGTGAAAGAATCAAGCTTGATCTCTTCATTATACCACATAAACTTTATCTCCAAGTGAGTAGCAAAAAACAGGAAGTAGAGGCATGGCTCAAATGGAAGAGTGCCAGCTGTGGGAAGGTTGTAGGGGGGAAGTGAAAGCCAAAGTCCTAAACTTAAACCTGAATAAAGGTGTATACACACAGACACTCTCCTGGTGATTTTTGTGATCTTAGATTAGGCAACACCTTATTAGATACACAAAAAAAAATCCAGGTGATAAAAATCAAACTGGACTTTCAAAAACTTCTGTGGGGCAAGCCATCTTAAAGTGAAAAAACAGTCAGTGTGAGAAAAAATCTATACATTATATGAGATAAAGGACTTGAAAGTATTCAATAATCAACTCAATAATCAAAAGGCAAAAAAATCTAGTTAAATGTAGGTGAATAACTTAAAGAATGGTCATCACCATCAGCAAAGAAATGCAAATGAGATCCGTAAGATAAACCTCACACTCAAAAGTTATAATGAAAAACACAAGTCAGTAACAACTGGTGATAAGGATATAGAGACGTTCGAATTCTTTTTTACTGCTATAGGGATGTAAGTTGGTGCTGTGGAGACTAGTTTGGCATGTCCTTAGAATTTTAAACCTGTGGTTACCAAAAGACTCACCGTAGCTGGGCACCGGTGGCTCACGCCTGTAATCCTAGCTACTCAGGAGGCTGAGATCTGAGGATCTTGGTTCAAAGCCAGCCTGGGCAGGAAACTCTGTGAGACTCTTATCTCCAACAAACCACTAGAAAACTGGAAGTGGTGATATAGCTCCAGTGGTAGAGCGCTCGCCTTGAGCTGAAGAGTGCAAGGAGGGCCCCTAGGCCCAGAGTTGAAGCCCCAGGACCAACAACAACAAAAAAGACTCACCCATTCTACTATTAGGTAGGTATGTACCCAAGTGAAATGGACATATCCTCAGAAAAATTATACCATACCACAGTATTCACAGCATTATTATTCCTAGATCCAAAGTGGATACAACTCAAACACCTACTGACTGGTGAATAGATAACTAAAATGTCTATTCCTGTAGAGCAGGATTTCTTGTTAATAAAAAATAAAAGTAGCCGGGTGCCAGCGGCTCACACCTGTAATCCTAGCTATTCAGGAGGCTGAGATCTGAGGATGGAGTTTCAAAGCCAGCCCAGGCATGAAAGTCCGTGAGACTCTTATCTCCAATAAACCACTAGAAAACCGGAAGTGGCGCTGTGGCTCAAGCAGTAGAGCACTCGCCTTGAGCTGAAGAGCACAGGGACAGCGCCTAAGCCCAGAGTTCAAGCCCCACAACTGACAAATAAAATAAATAAAAATAAAACATTTGAAGGAGTAATTTATTTACAAGGAAAAACTCTAAATCATCAGTAAATATTTAAAAGATATTCAAACTTGCCAGTAACCAGACAAATGCACATTAAAACAAATTCAAATAACATTTCATATCCATTTAGCAAAGAGTAGAAGAGCACAAAAGTATTAAATGCACAAACTATGTAAGTTTAGAGAAGACTTTTAGTCATATTGAAAAAGTACTTAAGTTTAGATTAATTGAAAAAGAAAACCAATCATATCCTGGTTAATAGTGTTAACTAGCTATGACAGGTTCTACCAAAAATTTCTATGCTGAAATCCTAATTCCCACAGTAATGGTATTCTGAGCTAGAGCTTTTGGATTAAGTCATGAGGGTTCTGTTCTTACAAATTAGATTACTGCTCTTATAAAATAGGTCCAAAGAGTTCATTGGCCCATTCTACCAAATTAGCAGGCAGCTAATGACCACGAGATGTATTCTCACCAGTCACAGAATTTACTGGCATACTGAACTTCCTGGCCTCCAGAATTATAGAAATAAAATTCTGTTGTATAAGCTTACTCACCTGTTAGTCTATTACAGTAGCTTAACGAGACCAAGACAACAAGTAACAGAAAATATGCCATAAGAGAAAATGTTAAACTTTTATATTCATTCCTTAGGCTTTTTCTACAGAATTATTTACATTATGGGAAAAATATAATCAGAAGGAGAATCAATTACAGAAACATAAGTAAACTATGGGCTGATAATTATATGAAGAAATTAAAATACTAAAGCTAGTCCCTAGACAAAGGTCTGAAATTTTAATGATCTATTTTAATTTTAGAAATATTTCATTCAATCTGGCTGTTCATTCATTTATTACTGTGATTTATAAGACTCACAAGGTAAATATAAAACTGCTAAGTTAGAAAAAAATAAAAAACTAGCCACATAAGTTGTTAATAAAGAAAAACTAGCCACATAATTTGTTAAAGGAATTTACTTAAAGGTTAGAGTACTACTCCTTCCTTCCAAACAGAAAAGCTCCAAAGGAAAGATGTTTGGCTAGTGATTATTTGAAAGAGAAGAGACAGTGAAGCAGTACAAGAGACTAGTATAATAAAGCATAAAAAGTATATGAAGCTGGGAGCTGGTAGTTCATGCCTGTAATCCTAGCTACTCAAGAGGCTAAGTAAGATCTGAGGCAAGAAAATCTGTGAGACTCTTACTTCCAGCTGACCACAAAAACCTGAAAGTGGTGCTGTAGCTCAAAGTGGTAGGGTAGCTTTGAACAAAAAAAACTCAGGGAGGCTGGGAAGGTGGCTCAGTGGTAGAGTGCTTGCCTTGCATGCGTGAGGCCCTGGGTTCGATTCCTTAGCACCACATAAGCAGAAAAAGCCAGAAGTGGTGCTATGTTCAAGTGGTAGAGTGCTAGCCTTGAGCTGCAGAGCTGAGGGATAGTGCCCAGGCCCAGAGTTCAGGCCCCACAACCGACACACAAAAAAAAAATACATGAAGTATAATAGCATAGAGACAAAGGAGTCAAACTATATGGGTTAAAATTATAGATCTGCCATTTACTGGCTATATTGCTGGGAAACATTATTTATTTGTTTATATTATCTTTAATTGTACAAAAAGGTTTCAATTCAACATACTTATGAATACAATGCATCTTGATCAATGTCACCCCTTTCATCATTCTGGAACAATTTATTTAATGGCTCTCAGTTTATTTACTTCTTAACAACTTTCCTCAAAAAAGTGGTTATTTTGTGTGTGTGTATATATATTGATCCTGGGGCTTGAACTCAGGACCTGAGTGCTATCTCTAAGCTTTTCTGCATAAGGCTAGTGCTCTATCAAATTGAGCCACAGCTCCACTTCTGTTTGTTTGAGTTTTTTTGATGAATAATTGGAGATAAGATCCCATTGACTTTCCTGTCTGTCTGGCTTTGAAACCATGATCCTCAGATCTCAACTTTCCAAGTACCTAAGATTATAGGCATGAGCCACCAATGTCCAGCTCAAAGGGTTGTTCTTATATGTAAATGTCAGTATTAGTTTAGAATACTGTTTGCCACTGTAAGTAGTCAATAACTCTAAGAACTTTAAAAGAATAAGGACAATAATATGGTTTTAAACCAAATTCTTTCATATTTATATATGGAAAAAGATATGCAGCATCACTGACTACAAAGTGATAAGAAAGATTAAAAGTTGTAAAGGAAAGATTGGAAGGCATAATTACTAATAAATGGGTAGCATCATTGATCTCTATTATTTATTAAATCAGAAAAAACTGTTTATATAAAATATAAACAAAATGTACAAATATAACCTTACCAAAGGTAACATAGAACAGAATTGTGGACTTTTCCTTTATAAAAATTTAAAAAGAAATCTTACCTCCATTGAATGTAACCTCTCCCAGGCAGTCTCGTGGTACTTTTGATGCACAACGTTTATGGCAGTTGAATTTGCAATCTAAAAAATAATAATTTGTTATTATATTTAGTCAGGCAATATCAAATAGGATTAGACTTTCTTTAAATCACTCAGAATAGAATTAGTGATGATAGTACTACTAAAATGTGACAGTGTTTTTTCTTTTTAATAAGAACTCAAAACTCAGACTCAGTCGTGTTTCAACTTCTTACAGCACTTAATTTAACTTTCTGGAAGTTATATAAACCCATCGGGAACTGATTTTTTTTTTTTTTCATTTGTACAAAGGCTAATACTATGCTGACAGTTCCATGTAACCTTTCCTGTTACCTAAAATTCGTATTTCCGCACTCCTGTAAGACTTTTGTTCATCTAACAAATTTCAATCTATATATGTCAGGTATGTTTTCAAGTTCCTAAACATTAGAACCTAATGCAATGCAAAAAGGAGACATATTCACCAAACTTTCACATGGAATCTAGCAAAGGCTTTCTACATACAAGTCTGTGAGAAGGCACTGAGCTTCTCAGGCATAATGGTTCTCTTCAACCTTCCAAGAACCTCAGGAATACAGAGCACTACAGATTAGGGTCAAGCAAACATTTCAAGTATGTTTTCTCTTTCTTTTTTAATTCATGCTTTCCTTTCATCTAGAAATGCAGCTATCTAAAACCTATAATATTAATAAAAATACACAAGTTTTCTTCAAGAAAATACTCAATCCTACCTTTACACTGCATGCCTTGACGGAACAGGCCTTTCAATAATCGCTTGCAGTACTGACATATTGTGGGACGACCGTAAGAGTGAACAGCAAATGTATGAGGAACTTTTACTCTGCACATTACCATCTTTTCCATCCAGATTGGGCGACCACTCCAAGAAGGAATCCTCTTACTTGGTTCTTGGTGAACATGTGACTAAAACATCAGTAATTTTTGTAAGTATAAGTCAATATTAAAAACAAAGTATTGAGGGAAGAGCTTAACCACAAAAGTCATTCAGATTGCTAGCAACAATCTAAGAATGTAGATCTCAGCAGTTTCCTTTGGAAAGTTTAATTTGTCAACTCTTGAATGAGAAGAACACAGAACCATTTTTTTAAACTTTTATGCTAAAAAATAACAAAACTATAGTATGTTCATTATCATCACTGGCTATTATACACCAAATACATTCAACATTTTACAAATAAAAACCACAAAAACCTTAAAATGAATTTTTAACAGATGTTCAAATCTATTCAAAACCTGACCAAGGAAGTAATCACAGGAAAAGTAAATAAATTCAAAAAGTACTGCTGCTGTTCCTGTTGTATTACTCAACAAGATGTCTGAAAACACTGGAGATTTTCAATTTATCTTAATAAACTCTAAAGTACACATGTAAGAATTTAAGTCTGATTATTTTTATGATATAATGGCAGTAACAAAGTACTAAAAACAACATTAACCCTACTAGTTAAGCTTCAGGTAATTTCCTTTAATTTTCCAGTTTTTAATTTTTTCCTGAGATGAATAAAAAAACAAAATTAAAGAAAAAAACATTAAAAATTAAATAATCTAAGAGGCAATTTTTTTTTATACTATGGCTCTTTCTATATAAATTAAACTATAGGTCAGCTCAATGTGGTTCATTCCATTCATTCAACAAACATTCATTGATATATTATAAATCAGGCTCTATGTTGTATATTTAGGAACACAACAGTGAATAAAATGTAATCCATGTTCCCAAGCATAAATCCCAAATAATCCCCTCCTGTAGGTTTTAATAAGCTCCTGAAATTGTTTAGGTGCCTCCTATAACTTAATATTTATAACTCAGAGAAGTGTGAGTCATTTTACATTGATATGTTCAACTAAGGGAAGCAAAAGTAGTCAGAAAAAGCCAAGAGACAAGGGAAGTAAAGAGAGGAGGCAAACAAAGCAAAATAAAAATAGAAGAAAGCAAAGAAAAAGGTCAGAACAAAACAAATGGAGGAGTATGCTATAAAAGGAACACAAATGAAGCTTGAGATCATTAATTTTTCCTAATATGCAGCCAGAAACTTCTAAAACAAATTATAAAACTGTTTATTTCAAGTGAAGTACAAAAAGAATGTTAAAATTCAAACCATACTTGCATGCCTCAGATATCCAAGGTAATCTATCTGAGTCTGGCTCATCCATCTTGCTACCACGAATGGACCACCTTCAGGCAAACTATCATTTTGGGGATTCTGCAAAACTAAGGAGCTACAAGGAACTAGAAACAGATGTTTTAGAACTTTGTTCAACCCTGGCTCCTTCTTTTACTGGTGACTCAACCCTGCTTCTTGTGCTACTGCTTTTACAATTATTTTTTCTCTCTCAAGTTCAAAACAGACAAGATGGAGCGAGATTAATGTAGTCAGTCATCAAATATACATGGCATGCCTGTAGTAAGATTTCTTAACAAAGCATTGCCAATGGCTAGAGTTAGTGCCTTTTGGTCAGGTATCACTGACGGCATGGTACACAGCATGTGCACTAGGTACTATGCAAAGGGCAATGGTTATAGCAGCCATCTTATTAGAAAAAAATATTTATGCTGTTGTCACTATTTTAATATAAAAACATACTCAAGTAGTAGTAAGTTAACATCAAGATTTAAGTTTAGGTCTTTATACTACAGTCTAGAGAGTCTCAACTTTTCCATCCTAGTATACCTGGATACAATTCCATCAGTAAAAATGGTCTGGCTTCTATTGGTTGAGAAATATGGGAAAGAATTATCAGGTTTAAATCAGAATTTGGAGAGAGGAAGATGTTGGTAGATTCAACTATAGAATTTGGTTAAAATGTGACACCACTGAATCCACAGGAAATAGAAATAAGTAAAAGTTCTAACCTTGTTTTAATGTCCTCTATTTAAAAATTATTACTTTGAGGGCTGGGAATGTGGCTCAGTGGTAGAGTGCTTGACCAGCATGCACAAAGCCCTGGGTTTGATTCCTTAGTACCACATAAACAGAAAAAAATCAGAAGTGGTGATGTGGCTCAAGTTGTAAAGCGCTAGTCTTGAGCACAGAGAGGCTCAGGGACAGAGCCCAAACCCTGAGTTCAAGCCCCAGGACTGGCAAAATAAAAAATAGTACTTTGCTGAAATCTTCTTCCTACTAATTGAAGCCACAAATTTTCTAAAAGTAATATGATTTTATTTTCACAAGTTACAGCAAATATTTGCTTAAGTTAACTAACTGCTCACAGAAAAAAATAATCCTGTCAATTCTCAATTATATTTAATACAGAAAACAATTATGTGAGAATTTTCTCTTTTGGTTTTTGAGACAAGAACTTAATATATAGACTAGGCTGGCCCCAATTATTCAATTGTTTAGCCTCTGCCTCACAACTGCTGAGATTATAGGGCTGTACCACTGTATCTGATCAATTATTTGTATTCAGTTGTCACTGGAGTATTAGTGAGAGAAATGCTTCCACTTTTTTTTTCTAATTTACTTTATTGTTGTTTTAGAGATGATATACAGCAGGGTTACCTTTACATATGTCAGGTAAAAAGTACATTTCCTTTTGCATCCCTCATTCTCTCCCAAATACCTCTACTTGTATATACCTTCTTTGGCATGAAATTTTCTTTCTAGTTCAATTCTGTCCCATTCTGACTACTTGAAAAATGTACGGAGAGGAGGAATATTTTTATGTCTCATCTTCAAATAGCCAGTCCTCAATTCTGGATTTGCTACCTTAGGTCCTTAGTAATCCCATTCTAGCTAAATGCAATGAGTACCTTCTGTTTCTTAATAGAAATTGCCTTCTTAAATGTGAACAAAGACAATCTCAAAGTCAGATTCGAAGGATCTACTTCCAGCTTGCCTGTTTTCAGCTTATCTCAGTATTCAGTGAAGCTTTTCTTCTCAGGAATTTTCCTTCCTCATTTCCTTACCTATGAAATTAGGATATTATATGGCTCTGGACTGTGTTTAGGATTATGTAAGAAAAGATAAAGTTCTTAGCAGAAAGCCTGGTACATGAAAGCCTAAGAGCCTCTGAGTATGGGCTAGCCAGTTCTTTATTCTTGGTTCAGCTTCAGGAGTTTCTTGTTTCCTAACTGCCTTTTCCACTTTCTTCCCTTCTGATTTTCACCCATGAGCTCTTTCCTTATTCTGCACTTACTCATACTTGGGACTGCATGCATGCCTGCACTGATAAAAGTAAATTTCTTGAGAGACTTTCCACTCTACAAGTTCTACTTGTTCTAAAATACTCTGAGCAGTCAAACTAATTCAAACATATCACTCTACTTCTTACACTTCCTATGAGCTTTCAACTTTCTAAGACAAATGTAAATTAATGAATTTGAATATAATCGTTGAGCCTCTGTACCCTCAAGTTTCGCATAGATGGATACAACCACAAATTGAAAATCTAATTAGTCCTACGATGGCTACATCTGTATTAAACATATACAGACATTTTTGTCTTTACTGCCTAGACAATAAGGACATCATCTGTTGACTTACCATTAACAGTATACTAAGTATTATATTTAACCTAGGAATAAGTTAAGGGTATACAAGAGAACACATATTGTATATGCAAATACTGTATCATTTTATATTTTTATAACATTTTATTACCTGCAGGAGATCCTGGAATCATGTGAATCCTGGATACCATGAGAATAGAGACTGAAAATAAGGGGCTATCTATGACCACATGGTCTCTATACCATAGCCTTCTTTTCCTACTTTAAAAATCTTGTACTAGAGTTAAGCAATATATAAACAGGAGATTTTTACCCTAGAATTTCAGCTTAGCAACATTTGCTGAGTATCAAGACAACCAACCAAAGCCATGATTTTGTCACTTTATACTCTACTGGTGCTGTTACTTTGAAGACTTCTTGAGTAACAGTTTCCTAGTAGGGAGTAGTGAGAGTTGTATATTAAGAAATTTGATCTGGTTGTATTTAAATGGAGACCAAGAACCAGGAAATTGGTTAGAAAGCTATGACAGTGGTCAAAATGATAATACAATTCAGTGTGCGAAAAATTCAACTTGTTGCGGGCCCCCAGTGGCTCACACCTGTAATCCTAACTACTCAGGAGGCTGAGATCTGAGGATTGTGGTTCAAAGCCAGCCCAAGCAGGAAAGTCTGTGAGAGTCTTTTCTCCAATTAGCCACCAGAAAACTGGAAGTGGTGCTGTGGCTCAAGTGGTAGAGCATTAGCCTTGAGCTGAAGAGCTGAGGAACAGTACCCAGGCCCAGAGTTCAAGTCCCACAACCAAAAATAAATAAATAAATAAATAAATCCAACTTGTTTATTGTTGGTAAACCTTGTTTTCATGATTAAGCTTTTACTTTTGTAAGTGTAGGAACATTACTATATTTTTAACATACAACTAATGTTCTAGGCTGATATCACAAACCTCATATAAACACCAGGAAATACTAGTAAAATGTTTTCCTGTTACTTTTGAATACATACCTCCTCACTGAGAAGAGGTACACATTCAGGCTGTAGAGGTCTTGGAACTGAGAGGCCAGGTCCTGGCAGAGATACATTAGACAGCCGTCTCTTTCTTACTCCACTACAGTTATTTGGAATCTTGAAGGCACATCGTTTATGATAATTTAATCCACATCCTAAATACATTATAAAAGATAAAATTAAAGATTAAAAACATTGTTCTATTTAAGTGTAACACATAAAAACCAGTCTCTTTTCTTTTCCTATTTAAGTGTAACATATAAAAACCAGTGTCTGGGGGCTGGGAAGATGGCTCAGTGGTAGAGCGCTTGCCTTGCATGCCTGAGGCCCTGGGTTCAATTCCTCAGCACCACATAAGCAAAAAGAAAAAAGCCAGAAGTGGCACTGTTGCTCAAGTGGTAGAGTGCTAGCCTTGAGCTGAAGAGCTGAGGGACAGCGCGCAGGCCCAGAGTTCAGGCCCCATAACTGGACCAAAAAAAAAAACAAAAACAACCAGTGTCTCTTTTTTTTTTTCTGACAATAGTATCTACCCTAGTTAGGAACTTAGATAACTAGTTAGATAAGTGGAAGCTAACAAGGTCAAGAATTGGATATGTGTAGAAAGATTTCTTTAGAAAGATTAAATTAGATAAATCAAGTGATTCTGAGGTATAGTTCCTGTGGCAACCAACTGGGAATATACTAGAAAAGTAAATTACAGGATTTCACCCCAGATCTACTGAATTAGAAATCACAGTGATGACCCTCAGCAAAGATGTTTTATGGTTCCTTGAAAAGTTTGATAACCATTGTCTTAAAGCACTGGCTAGTACCAAACTGTAGCATGTATACCAAATTCTTTCCCTAACATGACAAGTATACAAAACTCAAATTTCAAGGTTCATAAATACAAGTTTTACTGGAACAGAGACATGCTGTTTGTTTATGTATTGTCTCTGGCTGACTAAAAAAGAAGATTTAAGCTGGGTGCCAGTGGCTCATGCCAGTAATTATAGCTACTCAGGAGGTTGAGATCTGAGGATTGAGAATCAAAGCCAGCCAGGGCAGGAAAGTCCATGATGACCATATGGCTGGCAAAGACTAAAATATTTAGCTTTCTGGCCCTGTATAGAAAATAACACATTAGAAAACTGTTTCATAATTAGAAATGTAAACCTGCAGTTTATTTGCTAGAAATTCAAGCTTAGAACTTTTGACAGTTTCATTGTTATATATAGGGAATCTACATTTCTAAAAAGGTAAGGAGGTTAATATTTATTGAGCTATTTCTCTCTGCCAAATATTTATCCATATTACCTTATTTAGCAATTTATAAAAGCATTATGGCAGAATATATTTCATAAAGAGTAAATCAACCCTCAAAAAGGTCTGGTCTAAAACACCAAACTATTAGGCAGAAGTCTAGCTACTAAGGAGGTTGAGATTAGATAATAGAGATTCAAAGCCAGTCCAAGCAGAAAAGTCCATGAAAGTCCACTCTATCTCCAATTAACCAGCAAAATGCCAACTGCAAGTATAGCTCAGCAGTAGAACACCAGCTCCACAAAGTCCTGAGTTCAAGCCTGGGTGTCAGCACAAGATAAAAAAAGAAAGGGAGGGGAGGGAAAAAAAGAACAACTAGGTGGCAGAAGAAAAACCAGAGTCATAATCTCTGCAAAATAAACCCTAGTTGACTCCCTAGACACCAACTATCATCTTACTTTTTTCCATCAATTTAAAAATGCAAATGTAAAATCCTCTTCCAAATTACTACAAAAAATTTGCAATCATGTACCTTCACATTTTAGTCCCTGACGTACCAATCCCCAAAGCATCTCTCCACAATAATCACAAAAAGTCGGAGCTTTGTAAGAATGTACATAGAGAGTATGTGGACGTATCTGGAAGTCTTCGACTGTGGCCAAAGCTTAAAAAGAAAGAAAGAAAGAAATGTTAAAAATAAAGCAATTAGGAATACTTACCACGAATATTTATATAAAAACAAGAACTTCTAGGAAAAGTCTCACTTGAACATAAAAAGTATTTTCATCATTTAACTATAATTTTGCAACTCTAGTTTAAGATGTCCACTAGCTTCAAATAAATCAGGCTCCAATTCAACTTGGAAGCCTGTAAGTTAACATATTCAGATATCCAAAAGCAGTTTTGCACAATGACAAAATTGCAAATAGCCTTTAAATCTACTTTAGCCAATTAAAAACTGCTCAGTGTAGGGGCTGGTAAAGTGGCTCAGTGGCAGAGTTCTTGCCTTGCACGCATGAGGCTCTGAGTTCGGTTCCTCAACACCAAATAAGCAGAAAAAGCCAGAAGTGGCATTGTGGCTCAAGTGGCAGAGCACTAGCTTTGAGCTGAAGAGCTGAGGGACAGCGCCCAGAGTTCAGGCCCCACAACCGCAAAAAAAAAAAAAAAAAACTCAGTGTATGATACACTAGGACACTGAACACAGAAAGTAAAAATTTAAAACAACTTCAAACTTAACCTCATTTCATCACACTGTTTCTCTAGGAAAATACAAGTTCTAACTTAGGATTTCAGGATATGTTATATCTGTTCTCCTCAGTGATTTTTATACATTGGTTAACAGAGAGGGAATCCTCTCCTCTCAGTAGGCAGAGAAACAGCAGACACACAGAGTTTCCTTTCACCCCAATAAACAAATTGAGTGGAAATCCCTGTGGTTTGACAAGGGAGCCAAAGAAAAAGGAATGGACTCCAGGGAACGAAGCATCTCACAAGTGAAGAAGAAGCTAAAAGATGGCAATAGATTGTTGAGTGTTATAGTGTAAAAGATAAAATGATCAACGTGGTAGGGGGCAGAGAGCTAGATGAACCGCAGGATTGGTAATGAAAGATAACAAGATTGGAACAAATAAGGAAAGGTGGTGATTACATTATCAAAAATAGACTTGAGATGAGTTTGGGAAGACAGAACAGTAGTAGCATCACTCTGGATGCTTAGCTGGTCAGCTTGCCTCCTTTCTCTCATCAGATCTCTTTTCTTCACAAATAAGGAATATTACAGAGCTACAATGAACATAATGTTCTTTATTCCTTAATATTCCTCACAAATAATTTGCCCACATACTCTTCGATGACACTAGAAATAGTGGGAGCTATGGAACAAGGCATGGCAAAAAAAGGATAAAAGAGATAAAATGTCCACTAGGAACAAAAAGGAAGAAGCATTTTTTTAAAGCCATGCAAATAGTCTTATTTCTTCTGTATTTTGAAAATACCTTTTTCCCCCTGATGCTCCTTTTTGAACTTCAATTCTTCTCATCTATGTTCTTAACAGAAATAGGGAAAAGGAAACACAACTTCACTTGTTCAACTCAGAGAAAAAGAATATATTCTTGGGCTGGGAAGGTGGCTCAGTGGTAAAGCGCTTGCCTTGCATGCCAGAGGCCCTGGGTTCGATTCCTCAGCACCACATAAGCAAAAAGAAAAAAAAGCAGGAAGTGGCGCTGTGGCTCAAGTGGTAGAGCGCTAGCCTTGAGCTGAAGAGCTGAGGGACAGTGCCCAGGCCCAGAGTTCAGGCCCCACGACTGGACCCAAAAAAAAAAAAAAAAAGAATATATTCTTGTTTCAACTCAAAATTTTCCTAGCTTCCTAACATTCACAGTTCACTTTTCTAGTTCCTCATATAACCTTCTTGATAAAACCTTCCTGAAAGTAAAACATCACATGCCAACCATTACTACAGACCAAAAAATTATACAGTATGTCTCAAGTATAATGGAACATTGCATTTAGTAGAGAAAATGAAGTTCTTTTGACAAAAGGGAAGAGGGAACAATAGGAACTATTTACTTACCCGAAAGAACAACTTCTACTAGATCTCCTTCATGTATTTCATCTGCTGAAGTAATCAGCTGCAGTATGTTTTCTGAGTTCATGTCATGGCGAAAGAGAAGAATTTTATCATACATGCCAAAGAAGCCACACTCTGGAAACTGTGAGAAAATAATCTTCTATCAATATACCCATAGCCTTCTATTTTTTTAAATAAATATTTTAATATTATAAAACAATTTTAAATACACTGTTTTATTTTAACACTGCTTACCAACAGTGATTCTATCAACATCTAAAAGGTAAAACAGGCTGAAGTTCAAAAACAGAACTGTAAATTCACAAATACTGACTTACATCTCTTAGAAATATAGCATTTCTAAATTGCTGATCGGAGAATATAACTTTGCACTTTACCCTCTTTTCTTAGCCTGGCAAGGCAAGCAAGTAGTCTTTCCTACTCTTTTAGAACTAAATTGTCCAATATAAGGTTAGCTACTGTTTAGTTCAGGTGTGTAACTCCCAAAGGTCCATGTACTTAAGGCTTGGTCACCAGAGCAACAGTATTGAGAGACTGTTGAACCTTAATGTGGGAAAGGGTGTTGTTAGTAGGTCTTTAGGTTACTGGGTGCATGCCTTTGAAGGAGTCTGTAGGAACCTGGACTCTTGTAGAAGCATTCTCCTGCTTCTTGACCACAAAGTGAATAGTTTTGCTCCGTCACATGTTCTTGTCATGATGTATTGCCTTGCCCAAAGTAACAGAGCTAACTGATCCCTCTAAAATAAGGCCAAATCAAATCATTTTCTCATTATTTTCTGTATTTGTTACAGAAATGGAAAGCTAATCAGTACAGCTACTAACCACATGTAGTTAAATTTGAAATTATGAAAATTAATAAAAGCTTAGTTCCAGACCACAGCCACATCAGAAGGCCTCAACTGCCACCTTGGCCTTGGGATACCATATCAAACAGCAGTTACATCATTCCAGTAAACTCTATTAAAGATCAATCATTCTCAAGCAAAAGTACTAATTCTAACATATTTGCAAATGCTCCTCTAACCTCTAGCATTTACCTAATATCTTAATGTAATTACAAATATATGATTAATTGTCTATTTTTTTTTGGGGGGGGGGTGTCCATGGGGCTTGAATCAGGGCCTAGGTGCTACTTCTGATTTTGTAGTTAATTAGATATAAGTATCACAGACTTTCCTGCCCTGGCTGGCTTCAAACTGAGATCCTAAGATCTCAGCTTCATGAGTAACTAGGACTATAGGCATGAGCCACCAGTACCAGGCAAAAAAACTAACCAGAGCATTTGTGGATTTATTCTCATATGCCCAACTTGTATTATTCCAAGGTTTCCACATTTTCTGATTATCATGCCAAGATACTTAGAGGCTTAGTATGTAGACTAAAATATGAAAATATTTGTTTAAATTTTTATAGTAAATAGTTTGAGGTTAAGAGAATTTTGAATACTGTCTTCTAATTATTTTGTAATTTTGAATACTGTCTTACAAAATAATTAGTTTTCAAAGAAAACTCTAGAGAAGTGTTCAGGTCTCAGCATTTTAAATATTCTTACTTTAGTGTCTCACAGAGTATTCATATCCTTTAGTGGAAGATATAGTATGTTACTGGCCTGTGTTGACTGGCTTCGTATGAATCAGTTACGTGAAAGTATAAATAAATTTGCTGTAAGATGTTGCTAATGACATGGTTTACCAATTTCATACAGTAGCCCTGCTTTGTAAGAACACATGAAAGAAAAATTTCTGATTTTATCATGTGAACATGCCGATGACATTATTAATCATATTTTCTGGTTTACTCTGCCCATTGTGGTGGGGGAGTAAGGGAAGCATAGCCAAATTTGCAGCCCCTTATGGCAATCTAAAATCTTAGGGCAAGGTGTTTTATTTATAAGGTATTTTAGTATAATAACCAACTAGCTTCCTCTTGCTTTCTAATTTTAGTTTTGTCATTTAAAAAGTCCTACAGAGTTCTCTAAAGAGTTCTTTAAAGACTCTAAATTTTTCAAAATTGAAAACAATGACAAATTAGAAAGAACATATATACTGACTCTGCGTGCATGCGTGTGCGTGCGTGTGTGTTAGTCCGTGTGTGTGTGTGTGTGTGTGTGTGTGTGTGTGTGTGTGTGTGTGTGTGTGTGTGTGTGTGTGTGTGTGTGTGTGTGTGTGTGTCTTGGGGGCTTAAAACTCAAGGCTCAAGGCCTGGGAGCTGTTATTTCACTTTTTTTTCTCTCAAAGCTGGCACTCTACCCAGCTTTTTTGTAGTTAATTGGAAATAAGAATCTTATGGACTTTACTGTCCCAGCCAAACCACATCCTCAAGATCTCAGCTCCCCGAGTAGCGAGGATTATAGGCATGAGCCACTGGTGCCTAACTATTTATATATTTCTAAACCTGGAAAATAATGTGAAAGTATAGACATATCTAAATTTTTTTCTTTCTTTTTCCCAAGAGACAGGGTATTGCTATGTGATCCAGTCTGGATTCACCATACATTCAAAGCAGTAATGTTTTAGCTTCCTGGTGCTTGGTTTAAGGGGTCACCACCAATCCCAGTCAGAAATATTGCAAATTTTATTAGGGTGCTACTGGCTTATTCCTGCAATCCTAGCTATTTAGGAGGCTGCGACCTGGAAGATCATGATTTAAACTAGCCTAGGCAGAGAAGTCCATGAGAGTGAAATACTAGACTGGTGGTATGTCACAAGTGCTAGAGCACCACCTGTGAGCAAGCAAGCTCTAGAATTGATATAAGAATGGAAGGGAGGAAGGGAGAAAGGCAGGAATTGAGGTTGGAAGGGAGGAGGAGGAAGAGAGGGAGGGAGAGATTTGTAATTTTTATAAGACTAATTCTACTTTCAACTATATTTGAGTTAGCAATAGTATTTATAAAAGTTCATAATATGGTTTAACATATGTCTAACAGTGTAAGAATTCTCAAAGAGTTAAAAACAGAGCTAGAAAATCTACTGTTTTTTAAAATTGAAATTTTAATTTTGTTAAATTATTATCAAATTTGAGAACAAAGTATGTTCAAAACTGTAATAAATCCTGGGATCACTAAAAAAAAAGGTTCCACATTTTACTCTTATGAAAATATCTAACAAATATCTGCAAAAATGAAATTGGTTTATTTTTAAATTATAATTCTCGCATATTGGCTATGTCCAAGTATCGGTCCCACCATTTATAAAGAGGATCTTACAACCTAGTAGAAAGATAGAAATAAACAAATATTATACAACAATAAGGTAATGGCAAATAACATTTTTTAAAAATCTGTAATAGGAGTAAATAACTTGGGAGTAGAAGGATCCAGTGTGTTATTTGAACAAAACTGTAAGAGAAAGGGAGAGAAGAGGGGAAGGTGAAAGAAATGGAAGGGAAAAGGGAAATGGAGACAGGATAATGAAAAGCAGGGTTTCTAGAGATGAAAGGGAAAATACAAATGTCAACACTGAAAAAGCACAAGGCAAATGGATAGGTCAAAAGTGTAGCCGTAGGGGCTGGGAAGGTGGCTCAGTGGTAGAGCGCTTGCCTTGCATGCCTGAGGCCCTGGGTTCCATTCCTTAGCACCACATAAGCAAAAAGAAAAAAGCCGGAAGTGGAGCTGTGGCTCAAGTGGTAGAGTGCTAGCCTTGAGCTGAAGAGCTGAGGGACAGCGCCCAGGCCCAGAGTTCAGGCCCCACGACCACACCCAAAAAAAAAAAAAAGTGTAGACATGGGACTGCAGAATGAGGCAGAATAGAGTTGGATAGAACAAGGGCAAACATTCACATGGAGCCTGGCTGGAGCCATACTAACAAACCTGGAGTCAGCATGGTTCAAGTTTTGCTACCTATTAACTATAGCACCTTAGATAAATTGAGTAATGTCTATCTACATCAGTTTCTTCTTTACAAAATGGGAGCAACAGAAGTAGTGGCTTCACAGGATTCTTGTCAAATTAAATTTCATGGCTATATATAACCGTAAACACTGTGCTGAATAAATACTAATGGTTCAAACGCTATTCTTTATCCAAGAGGGAGAAAGACACAGGGTTCCAGAGCAAGGCTGTACCAAGATCTAATCTGTTATATGAAAAAGATTATGCTGTTAACACTGTGGAGAACTAGAATAGTAAGAGACCTGATTAAGCACTTGACAAAGGCTAAAACTGTAAGTTATGAAAGTAGTATCCAGGTCTAGATTACACAGTAAGAAATAGAAAGAAGTAACATTTCTATAGAAACTATCTTGGGTAGATCTATGGATCATTAATCCTAATTTGACCAAAGAAATTCTGAATAATGGTAACTGAAAAATTAAATCATTAAAAACATCAAAGGAAGAAGAAAAACATTAAAATATAGAATTTATTCCTTGGAACAAATAAATACAAAATAACCTCCTTAAAAGTCAAATAACTTAATGAATAATAACAGTATCATCAATTTGATATTTAAGAGATTTAAGCCAGGCACTAGTGGCTCATGCCTATAATCCTAGCTACTCAGGAGGCTGAGAGCTCAGCACTGCTGTAGAGTCAGCCCATGCATGTGCTCTCTCTCTCTCTGTCTCTCTCTCAAAAACAAGGAGTACTGTAAATATTTAGTTATTATTTTCATGTGTGCTGACCTGATGCCAATGACGTATACAGAAAATCAGAGCTTTTCCTAGAGAATGGATTATATACTAAGTCAGAATTTAGTACAATAAAACAGGACAAACCTTCCGCTAAAAACACCCTGTTCAGTTGTACAATTTTGTGTGTGGGGGGGGGGGGGGGGGTTGTGTTATGGGGCCTGAACTCTGGGTCTGGGTGCTGTCCCTTAGCTCTTCAGCTCAAGGCAAGCCCTCTACTACTTGAGCCACAGTGCCACTTCCAGCCTTTTCTGTTTATGTGCTGCTGAGGAATCGAACCCAGGGCCTCATGCATGCAAGGCAAGCACTCTACCTCTGAGCCACCTTCCCAGCCCCAGTTGTACAATTTTAAAAGAAGAAAATATTCTGGCAAGCAAATGCTAACCAATTCTTTGATTATATTTGTGAATCTGTTGCATTGGTTATTTCGATCTACCACTCCCAAATACAAATCCTGGCTAATAGAGTGATATATATTTCCTTTTGTAATTATAT